CTACTTTTCTACATATTTTTTATTTAAAAAACTAAAATTAAAAAAAAAATTAAGTCTCGATAGGAGTGTACCTTGCTCGTAAGACTCGAATATATGATATTGTGTGTGAATATGACTCAGAAGCTCGGTGTAGGACTTCTATTTCATAAACCGACCTTCGTAAGGGTTAGAGATCACATAGATACACTTTGAATGAGATACTCGAAACATTATGGTCTTATTTTAAATATTAAAGTTATTGAAATTTAATTAATGAGTAGAGATTTTTTTCTTTGGGGTCGAGTGAACCTGGGTTGAGTTAAAAAAAATTTAAATCAACTCAAAATTTTAGGTACGGTAAGGGTTAGATTGACACGACCAAAAAACATTAACCTATGAACCCACATGAATTTTTCGATATTTAAAAAATTCAACTCGACCTAAGTTAAGAAAAATTTAACCCAACTCAACTTTTATGATTTGAGTTGGATAATTCGTGTTGGTCGGATTCTCGAACAATTTGAACACCCACTTTTAGATAGCTTTAATACTTATTTATTTATTTTTGTCATTTTCTCTAATGTTTACGAAGGAATAATCAACCACTTGATACCATTATATTCTTTATAAAAATTAATAATATTTAAAAATGAATACATTAAAAATAAAATATACATAAATGATCCGATCGACCTGAATCAATACAACCCAATATTTTTACCGTCGGATCGGATTGAATTACCATCTAATTAAAAACAATTAAAACCGTAACAAATTAAGTTACAATCTAATTAATTGATAGGATGGGTTTAAATTTATTATACTATGTAAACAAAGAGTAGGTGTTATGTAACTTCAAGCAACCAATAAATAACAATTAGAGCTTATATTATATTATATCCTAAAGTTTAATGCGCCATTAATTAAATTATACGAGCATATATTGTCACACATCGTGTATGCTTTCAACTAAAGAAAAAAAAAATTATTTTTGTTTTATTCTTTTAAGATTCGTTTGTTGTTATCTAAAATAAAGATGAAATATTAAATATATGTTTTATTTTACAATATCAATCATTATTAATATCATGTAATACAAATCATATTATTAAATACTATATAATAATGGGTTGTTATGTTATAGAAGTTTCAAAAGGGTTGCTATCATTGGTTGATATAATAAAATTAAAAAGTTAAATATATTTTAACTTTAGAGGAAAGTTTTAAATTAATTAAGTAAATATTGTTTATTGAGATATCACACTTAGGTGACCATGATTTTTTATTTATTAATTTTGATATATTTTATGTATTTTTTAAATTAATTTTTTATTCTCCCAAAATGTTAAAATTTATTAAAAATATCGTGTTTAAAAAATACTCTCGAATTTTAAAAAATGTCATTAATACCCTTTAATTTTCTTAAAAAATTCAAAATAATTTTGTCATATTTAAAAAATATACGGGACCGGAGTATTTTTATTAATTTAGCCTAAAATAAAATAAAATTTGCTATAATAATAATAATAATTATTATTATTTTATTTCTTTTCAAAAGAATCCTCCTTCCTCCCTCAATCAAAATGGTCAACAAACAGGCTTTTTATGTTCTCCATAAGAAAGCATGGACATAACCCTTTTCACAGCTAAAGAATCCCCCACAACCTTTTTCAGCCAAAGCCATGATCATCGTCATCGTCATCGTCTTCATCGTCTTCGGTTCCCCAATTTAGCCATGCAAAGCTCCACCAGCCAGTCGTCGGAGTACTCACTCGACCACTCTCTGCCCGCCACTGTGGGAAAATGGGCCTCCACCCTTCTCAATGAGTGCGCTCGAGCTATCTCCGACAAAGACTCCAACAAAATCCACCATCTTCTTTGGATGTTGAACGAGCTCGCCTCCCCGTACGGCGACTCCGATCAGAAATTGGCTTATTACTTCTTGCAAGCTCTCTTCTGTAAAGTGACCGAAACTGGCCTCACTTGCTACAAAACCCTCATCACCGTTGCCGAGAAGAATTACTCCTTCGACTCCGCTCTCAAGCTCATCCTCAAGTTTCAAGAGGTAACGGTCTAAAATCACCACTAAACTCAAAAGTTTAGCTTCGATTTATAACAATTCAAAAATTTAAGTTGATGGGTTATAGCAAATTTAATTTATTTTTCTTTAGGTAAGTCCGTGGATGACATTCGGGCACGTGGCATCGAACGGGGCAATTCTAGAGGCTCTCGAGCGAGAAACGAAGCTACATATCATCGACATAAGCGACACCCTTTGCACCCAATGGCCAACCCTATTAGAATCGCTAGCCACACGCAATGATGACACTCCACATCTCAAGCTCACGGTGGTATCAACAACAACAAAGGTGAAGTCTTTAATGAAGGAAATAGGGCAAAGAATGGAGAAATTCGCAAGGCTAATGGGAGTCCCTTTCGAGTTCAATCCCATAACGAATCTTAACCAATTAAGCGACCTCGAGAACGAAGCTCTCAAAGTAGAAGAAGATGAAGCCATTGCTATAAATTGCAATGGAGCTTTAAGAACCGTAAAAATCGAGGAGAGAAACGCTGTGATTTCAATGTTGAAATCGTTAAAGCCTCGAGTTTTGACAATTGTTGAAGAAGAAGCTGATTTCATAAGCTCGAAAAATAAGTTCTTGAGCTATTTTGATGAGTGTCTTAGATTTTACACGCTCTACTTCAAGATGTTGGAAGAGTGCTTTGAAGCAACGAGCAATGAGAAATTGGGTTTAGAAAGAGAGTGTTCGAGAAACATTGTGAGGCTCTTGGGGTGTGGTAATGAAAGCGAACTCGAACGAGAGTTAACGAGCGAGAGAAGAGAAAAGGGAAAGCAATGGAGCAAAAGGCTTGAAGAACGAGGTTTTTCATCGGCTCGATTTAGTGACGATGTGATGGATGACGTTAAGGCTTTGCTCAAAAGGTATAAACCCGGTTGGTCGTTGATGCATTGGACCGGTGCTACCGACACGAACCGAGATGAAGAAGAAGGTGGTGATGATTCAAATGGAATTTATTTGACATGGAAGGAAGAACCAGTGGTGTGGATTTCAGCATGGAAACCCTAGAGGGACATTTTTTTTTTTTTTTTTTTTTAAGCAATGAAAATGTTAAATAAAATTGTTGTCGAAATTTGATTTTCGGATTGAATCTTTAACTATCGAAACATTTGCGTACTCAATGTAACATCTTCTAGATTTCGATAGAGACAACTGTATCTATTTAAAAGAGAAGGGTACCAGAAGAGAAGAATCTAATGTAACAGACAAGATCTATGGCTAGAACTCAGAAAGTGGTTGAAGATCGTTTGAAAACAAGTAGCTGAGACCCTGATTCAATCGACGATTCGTGAAGAGATAAACCACCAAAAATAGGCTAGAACTAGCTGAGCTTCGAGATTGCGTAGGTTATTTTGTAGCTAAAACGAAGTGACAAGACATTGAATGTTTTATGGTTGGATTTATCAGCTTGGGAGGTGGGAAAACAACATCCATATGTGTATTCTTCAATTATTCGTTTTGACATGTCGGTGGGTTCTTCAAAAACGTAAGGCACGGATTCAGCAAACGTCCAGCACCCAAGTGCACGGAATCAGAAAGAGGTTTAGGGGTGAAGGGTCCAAGGGGAAGAGGTTGAAGCACAAGTGTAGTGAGTTGATCCCATGTTTGGGTGTTGGTCCAGTGATTGGAATAGCATATTTTTTGCTTGAATTACCACACATTTGTACTGCCTTTAGCCTAACATTTCATGGTGGGAAACCAACTTTTTGTAGCTTTCTTTTGAGATAAGGATTGGGTACTTCCTCCACCTGCCCTTTCCCCACTTACCTTACGCGTGACTATGTCATGTTTACAAGTCTTCTAACGGTGGGCTTAGATTGTTCCATCTTCATTCTAAGTACAGTTTACACACAGCCGAGTAGAATATAAGACTTAGTTAATTCGTTCCCCTCTTCAACCGATATGGAATCTCACAATCTACTCTCTTGGAGGCTCAACGTCTTCGCTGATACACCACTTAGTGTCTAGCTTGTAATAACTCAAAGCCCACTGTTGGAATATCTTGTCCTCTTTGGACTTTCCCTTCTGAGTTTTCCCTCGAGGTTTTAAAATGCATCTGTTAGAGGGATTTTTACACTCTTATAAGGAATGTTTTGTTCTCATCCTGTTTTGACTTGATCCCTTAGGGTTTTTCTCGAGGGAGGTTTGGACAAGAGGCCTATTGAGACAATTTTAACAAATGAGTATTACGAGGAAACGAGTTCAGGTCGGCCTTTGGGATTTTGGTCCGAGATATATTAGGTCAAATTTTTCCTCGTTTGTAGATGTTTTTGGCTGATTTTTAGTTCATTAGATTAGTCTTGAAGAGCTCCGTAACTTGTTTGCTGACATCTAAAGTTATCGAGGGCAATCGAAGAAGATAATACATCGTTATATTATATTATTTATAATACTTCAACGTTTAATGTAGATTATTTTTTAATTTAAATTTATGTTTATTATATTAAATTTCAAAATATAATAGATTTTTATATTATATTCATAATAAATTTGTTAAAAATATTTAGTTAAATAAATAAAACAATAGGAGGTCGATGGGCTTGACTTGGGCCTCTATGATTTTGGGCCCATTTGGCACATGGTACAGTTGATTAAATTTATTTAAATAATCAAATATAGTTTAATTGGATTAATTTGTCACATGTGCTAATTTATAACAAAGTAAATGATTTAATTCAAGTTGCCTATTTTTATTTTTTTCCAATGGGTTTTTTTGTTTAGAAAAATGAATTTTAATTTTAAATTGTATCAAATTTGTATCATAAATTATTTATTTCAATAAATTAAAATTAACTAAGTGTTATAAAAAAAATAAAAATAAAAAGCCAATTAAAATGTTGGGTTTTGCATAATTAAAATATTGAAGCCTAATTATTAATTAATTTAGAAGCCTAGGCTTGGTAATTAAAGAGAGTGTCAAGGGACAAAACTGTAAATGAACATAATTGAGTAATAGCTATATTCTTTGCCCGCCCCCATGAATTAGAATTAGGGTTTGTGAAGGGGTTTCAGTATCGCTACACTCAGGAAGGCGCTTACTCTGTTCTTCACGGAAAATGGTACTGATTCCTAATTTCACTGGATTTTCTTTGTATTTGCTCTGCTTGTAATCATTTGAACATGGTAGAGTTAAGGATTTTTCCCCATTTGTTATCATTTTAATGGTAGGTTAAGTTAAATAAATTTCAATTTACTTCTCTTTGGACTGAAATTTGATGAATAAGGTCAAGGAATTTTCATCAGTTGCATGATTCTGCTGTGTTTTGTTGAGTGTATCTTATTTATTCATATCGTTGTTGGAAGATTCTGTTGTTTTACCTTCGCATTCTCATAGCTGAAGTGTTTACTTTATAATTTTTGCAATGTTCGTTCCGATCCATTCCTTTTCGTTCTTTATTAGTTTTGTAGGTTGGATCATTTGACTTATGCAATTGAAAGGGCATCAGATCTCAAACTTTCTTGACGAATTAACGAACGCAATTTCGGTTGTATGCTATATGTCTATTTGTCAATTTCTTTGTGAGAGTACACGTGAAGATTTCTAGTTCTTTGGAAGAATATTAATGAAACATAGATTTCTTGTGTAGAGTAATGTAAAAATTTCAACTTGTGTTCTTTGGACTGAAACTTGTGGTAAAGGAAATTGTTATTGGCTTCATGTCTCTGCTTTGATTATTAGTCATCTGGATTTTACATTAACTTCTGTCCAGATTTGTTGAGTGTTTTGGGTTGGGTTTATTAGCGGTATAAGGTGTTCTTGAAGTTTTTTGGCCAAGGTTTAGAGGTATTCAAGTAATTATTCGAGATTCTGGGACTGTTCGGTTGCCTCACTCATTTGCAAATCTTACTTTTGTGTTATGTTATGATCGATTCTTACTCTTTTTATTCCATAATTCATTGTGCAGCCGAAGCAAATTAACGAGATCAAAGATTTCCTTCTCACTGCCAGAAGGAAGGATGCTCGCTCTGTGAAAATCAAGAGAAGCAAAGATGTGGTCAAGTTCAAAGTTCGATGCTCCAAGTATCTTTATACTCTTTGTGTTTTCGACTCCGAGAAGGCAGAGAAGTTGAAGCAGTCTCTTCCACCAGGTTAACTTTTTGAACAACTACAGTTGTAATTACTTAAAACAATTTCATGCACATAATTATCAGTACTTTAGAATGGTTTAAATTCATATCATAAGGTACTTATGTCTGACCATAATTCAAAACGAGAAGGCCAAGAACATGTATAGGTGCTTCCATTATTTGCTTTTGTCGCCATCAATCTACTAAATCCATTTCTTGTTTCACTTTATCCTCGGCATCGTCGTTATCTCACCGATCTCTTTAAAAATTCTGTTATTAGTCTTGTATTTACCCCTCACTTTCTCTAATCCATGTCTCTGTAAATACTTTTGTGTATTTCCTGATAACTTGCATTGATTCTGTAACGACCTAGATTTTCTAATATAAGTTTTCAAGAAATTCATGTTTTTCTTTGAGGATGACTTCAGTAAGAGTTGTCCATTGAATCTACTCACCAAAGCCTTTGTTTTGTGATCCTAACATGATTACTGAGACCTGACATTTGTTTTACTGATTGTTCATCAGGTTTGAGTGTGCAAGATCTGTGAAAATATGTTGGGTTAGAGCCTGACAGCAAGAAGAGGACCAAAGTTTTTGTTTTAGTTGAAGTTTTTTTGTCCAAGTATTTAGGGAAATACATACATTTTAAAGTGGATTGAGTTTATTATGCAATTCCCAGTTGATGTTTCAGTAAAATTATGTACTCTTGATGTGATTCCCAGTTTTGGTTCCAGCAATCAACTTCTAAACTTTGCAAAATGAATGAAACATGAAAAAATCTGCCTTTTGTTATAATTATACTCTTTATTTTTTTATATAAAAAAAAATTTGTTAATTCTTTTAAAGTTGAAGTTTGCAGAAATTTGATAAGCTGTATCAATTTTGACTTGGAAAATTTTATATTACACTATAAGAATTTCGCTTATTTCTCTAAAAATTATGACAATGAATTTTTTTTAAATGCAAGTTTTGCACAAATTTTAATTTGACTTATACAAATATATATCTATATGTCTATATATAATAATAATAAAATAAATCTACAAATTTTTTTATAAAGTTTTTATCTAAATTATATTGGCATGGATTTATTTGTTTAAAATATAATTTGGTGAATTAGAGTAAATTATTTATTTATTTTCTTTTTAAATAAAAAAAATCAGAGTTCAAATAAATTAAAAAGAACTTAAAAAAAAACAGTTTGAACTACAGACCAAGTTTATATAATTTTTTTTAATAATAATAATAAAGAAAAAAATAGAAAATTGTAGTTTGGGCCATTATATTTGAAGCCCAGCTCAGCCCTGCCCAAGTTGTTTCATAATACCTATAAATACAAAGCTATGAAAATTAGGGCTATTTGAATTTGGAGCGTCCACAAGCCGGCATTCGCAGTTCTTGTCGCAATGGTAACTCGCAAACTCCCTGCTTCCCAACTTCATGGATTTCATTGTTCATAGTTTTTTATATTCTCAATCCATGTTTGGTTTTTGTTCCTGTATTCATTTGAGCCATACAATTACCGCTTTTTCTAGTGTACTGTTTGTGCTTACTCTTTCCATTTCTTGCTTAATCTCTCTGTATTTCTCCGCCGCCGCCGGTTTCTTGGTACCTTGAGTATTAACAGAAGAGAATGTATTGAGGAAACGACCTATGTATTTATATTCTGATTAGAATGTGCAGATTATGTATTTGCTCTCTAATTCTTGTAGTTTAGAGCATTCTGTATGTTTTCGTATCTTATGTTTTATGTCGTGTCAATATGCAGCCGAAGCAAATTCATGAGATCAAAGATTTCCTTCTCACTGCAAGAAGGAAGGATGCTCGTTCCGTGAAAATCAAGAGGAGCAAAGATGTGGTGAAGTTCAAAGTTCGATGCTCTAAGTATCTGTATACTCTCTGTGTTTTCGACTCTGAGAAAGCAGACAAGTTGAAGCAATCTCTTCCACCAGGTTAGATTAACTTTTTTTTTTTTTTTTTTTTTTAATAACTAGCACCTGCAATTTATTTTTAGAGCATGAGATATTGAAAGTAATTAGCACATTACTTTTAAATGGTTAAATTAGATTAAAAGCATTTCTTAAATTGTTTGTGTTTGACTGTAAATTCATAGGTGCTTTTATCATCGGGATTTTGTATTAGATGATCATTATTTTACTGTCATTTCTAGAATTGCCAAGTGATCTGAGGAGAAGTTTTGAGGTGTTATTAGGTTTAATATCCCAATGTGGGTGATTTTGTCATTTTGTGGTTGGGATTGACATGAGGGATGAGTTGGGACTTTCTTGAATTGCTAAGTGATCTGAGCAGAAGTTATGGATGTTATTAGGTTTAATACACCATTGTGGTTGTTTTGTAATTTTTAGGTAGGCTTCATTCCATTGGATATTCCCCTTTTTTTTGTGAACTCTTATGTTCTTCCATTGTTCTTAACTAAAGTTGTTCTTATAAGAAAAAGAAATTACTTGGTATGCTTTCTAAAATGAGGATGATAATGAATTCGGTCTTGATTATGCCATTTCTTCATGTCGTCACTTGTGATCGTACAATTCCAGCCTCTGATTATTTTTCCCATTGTGCCAGGTTTGAGTGTGCAAGATCTGTGAAAGAATGGTTAAAGTTTCTCGAATGCAATCACAAGAACAGGACTAGATTTTTTTTTTTTTTTCTATTTTTCGTTGGGATCTTTTTTCCAAGTATTTCGAATACTTCTAAATTGGATTTGAGGTTGTAGTAATCCATATTCCCTTCATTTCCCAGTGGGGTTAATGGAAATTTAGAATTGTTATGTCTGAGTTTATTGTGTGGGTACCCAGTTGTTTCACTAAAACTATCTTACTCTTGCAGTGTTTCTTTAACCAACATTAGCTTTGATATGCTCAGCCTTTTTTTTTTTAATTGAAACTTATGCAACAACCCAATTCAATAGTTGATTCAGGAATGGATGGTTTTTTAGAAATACTTTTAGGTGATTTGTGTTTTGCGAATCAAAATTTTAGCTGTTCATGATCATCTCTAATCGAGTATGAATCACTAAAACTATTTTATCGAGTATCTTACTCTTGCAGTGTTTCTTTAACCAACATTAGCTTTGATATCTTATCGAGTATCTTACTGTTCATGATCATCTCTAATCGAGTATGAATCACTAAAACTATCTTATCGAGTATCTTACTCTTGCAGTGTTTCTTTAACCATCAGGAATGGATGGTTTTTTAGAAATACTTTTAGGTGATTTGTGTTTTGCGAATCAAAATTTTAGCTGTTCATGATCATCTCTAATCGAGTATGAATCATGGTGTCTGAGTGTCGAGTATACTTAACCATGCATGTGTGGGTACAAATTCCTTGAGGGTTGAAAAACTTTAGATCCTTATTTCTTTTATTAACAGTATGGTAACTATTTTCATTATTCTTAGATACTTTCTTAGTTACCTTAGTCACAAACTTTATTATGTAGTAAACAATGTGATATGTATGGATGTATGTGTATACATGTGTATATGTATATCTATATATATAGACTTTTAAAAAAGGTAAGGATATTCTAAAAATAAATGGCCACTATATTTTATACTATAGTCTTCAAAAAGAATGGAACCCTCGAGCCATGATGGGGTTAGTTAAGAAGTGGGACTCACAGCGACTTTAAATGTCAGGTGTTGCTGCTCTGTATGTGGACCCACACGCGATTGGTCTCGTCATTTCACTTATTTACAATTTTACCATTTTTCTTTTTAATTTTAAGAAGTATAAAATAAATAAACTATTTTCCTGGAAAATTAAAGTATATTTGAAAATTATTCATGGAAAAAAAATTTAAGATTTTATTTAAATCCTGCATATTTCATGTGCCTATTTTATTTTTTTTTCGTTTCTCCTGATTTTACCCTCCTATAATTTGTATTTTGTTGTCGGTTTGATATGTTTAGAGTTGTTACATGACCTTTTTTTTTAATCTTTAATTACTTATACTAGTAAGTAATACGAACAACAATTCTTTTATTATATAGTTTCAATCCTACTCGATTGTGATAGTTCCAGCGTGCCACCCTCAAATATGAGTGGCTTACGGAGAATATGATTAAATACAAAATTATAGTTGACATTAAGGGCATAGCTCAACGGTCGGCATCTTGTTTTCATAAGAATTAAACTGACTTAATTTGATGAAATAAAAAGTGTTTATTAGAATAAAACTAAATATATTGTTATTTTCTCGGCCCCAAAATATACCATCAATTTCAAATCTCGGAAACAAAATATATGATCTAGGTTAGGTCCTATTCTTTGCCCGGCTAGTTTGTCTAGTTTGCAGGCAAGGAGAGTTTGATGTGGTGTATAATGGAGTTCGGTGACGAAAGAGATGGATGCATTGTTCCAAAACTTGTGGTCCTCGTTCAATCCAAAGAATCTAAAAGGAGTTTCGAACCCATTTCTCTTCTCTTGTCGATGTTTTTTTAAGATTTTTTTCTGACCTCAATTGGTTCTTATGTCAACGCAGTCCTACATCGAGGATAAGTTTCCATTGAGTCGATGGGTATTTTAAACACCTCTATACTTTTAGGGTTCGGACACAAAAAGTGGTAGGTCGAGACTATCTTGACAATATGGTTCAAATTAGAATGACGGCTCAATGATTAACTTATTTTATGGCTTGAATTCGTGTACAAGATGATACCATTGTAAAACTATATAGAAAACTTTTATTTTTACATGTATATTATATTGACCGTATTTTTTCTCTCTCTCTCGTGATTGGTAAGAGAAATGTAGATTGTGACAACTTGAACGATACCGTTATGGTCCACGTACTGATGTGCATTGGGCGATCTCTCTCTCATTCGTTCTATTAGCATAATATTAATTAAATTACCTCATATATTCACGTGGATTACGGTTTTTTAATGCTAAAAAGAAATTTAGGGAATCAATCACGTTTATCTCGTAGCTTTCATACTTTATTATTCAAATATAGATCTTTTAAAAAAGAAAAAACAACATTTAATATTTACCCATTTTGGCTGGCTTGACCCATACAAAAAGAAAATTACAATGAACAAATTGACATTCTAACAAACTCTATAATAATTATAAAAAATAAAAATAAAAAGTTGCGTTGACTGACGCCTCCAATTTTGACTTAATTTTTTTTTTTTCTTGTTTGACCGTATTTCTTACACGACAAATCCTTAAAGAAGCGATACAATATAATCATTACTTAGTTTGGTCGAAGAAAAGTGGAGGAGACAAGTTTAGGTCAAGCCCGAGTTGGTCCTCTATTAACTGATTGTGAAAAGAGATTCCTCAACTAAGTAAGAATTCTTTTGTCCCGAGACGGAAACTAAACATTATTTATAAAGGTGTAAAAAACATTCAGTATTAAACAGTTTTAAAATCTTTAGGGAAAGGAAAAATCCAAAGAGATTGGTAGAGTTGAGCTGTTACAAATTGTATCAAAACCAGATATCGAGCAGTATACCAACTTTCTTGTGAAGATCTCACGTCCGTCGGAGAGAGAAACTAAATAGTCAGATATTAAAATTTTAAAATAATTTTAAAATATTTATTTAAGTCAACTATAATATGATATTTATAATTATATTTTTTTAAAAAAATCACATTTATAAATACACACGTGAAGGAGAAGAAATATTTATTTATAAATATTTAATTGTTTTTATTTATTGCTACTGATACTATTTATTGTGAATACCCCCTTTAGTTCTTAGGTTTGAAAAATGTTTCATTTTAGCCCCCCTCCTATTAATAATTAGTTGGCTTATTTTTATCAACAATAAATTGATGTGACTATTTTCCTTATATATATATATATATATTTGAAAAAAAAATTGTCATTATTTTTTATTGACGTGGAAAATATCTGAATACAAAGACATGTTGCCAGTAAATATTGTCTGCTTTTATCTGTTACGAATCCTTGTTAGCTTTACAATTTTAAAACTCGTCTACTAGGGAGAGGTTTACACACTCTTATATGAAATGATTCGTTTCTCTCTCCAACTGATGTAGGATCTTACAATCTACCCTTCTTGAGGGCCAACGTTTTCACTGATACATCGCTTGGTGTCTGACTCTTGATATCATTTGTAACAGCTCAAGCCCACCGCTAGTAGATATTGACCGATTTGGTCCATTACACCCATCATCTTCACATTTTAAAAACATGTCTACTAAAGAGAGATTTCTCCCCCTTATAAAAAAATATTTCGTTTTTTTTTCCAACCAATATGAGATCTTACTTATTATTTTCAAATTACAGCTTTCTCAGCTCAAGAATTAAGAAATCCGTGAAGCTAATATTTTGAATTTTCATCGATCAAACCAATTTAAAAAAGACACGTCGAACACACACATACCCGACCGAACATATTTGACGTAAAAAAAACTATAAATTATCCAAAATTTATATGATTTGGATATTAAAAATTAAAAAAAAAAAAAAAAGTTTGAATAAGAAGAATTAGGTGGGGCCCACTACCACATGTTTGGATGTGGTAAGCATATGAGGTTTGTTTGTGGCTTACCAATTTATGGCCAATAAAAGAAGTAAAATAAATTAATTATTTTTATTTAAATAAAAACAATATAAATTAAAAATAAATAAATAAATAAATAAATAAAAGGTGTATTTTTGTGTGTGGAAGTCTCTCAATTATGAGGTGGAATGTGACTTCTTTTTGCTTCTTAGCCGACACCACATTTTATTTTTTTTTTAATTTGTTTATTTTATTTATGTTTAACAACTATTGCACATGCATCCATATGCAAAATTCTCAAATACCAAGGTCAATAAAATAATCATTTACAATATTTTTATTATATATTATTTAAATAAAGTGTCGGGTATTCTTAAATTCGATACGAACGGTTCGACAATCTGTCTTCCTAAATCGAGATAGCAAGAACCGTTCTTGACTTATTCCTCCCGATGGCTTCTCATATTAGATAGTGATCGATTTTTAGATCTCATCCGAAAAGTAGGGCTCGAGAATTGAATGGTTATAACTAACATCTCTTTAGTAGTTCAAGAAAATCTACTTTCGGTAGAAAATATATTCGGTAAGTAAATAAAAATAAATGCCAATTGGTTTATAAAAAATTAATGATAATTATTACTAAATAAATGTAAATATATTTGAATATTTATGAATTATGGAATTAAATTATATTTTAAATATAATTTCTTCAAAACTTATAATTATTAATTGATATTTTAGGTTGGCTAAATAAATACATAATTATTGCCAAGTCTATTATTCTTTTTGTTAAGCTTTTAATTTTTTAGTTCACAATTTATTTAATTTTTTTCATTTAAAATTACTTAATTACCAAATTTGACCGTGGGTAACATTTAAGGTTAAGCGTAATAAAAGTAATTAATTGACAGGTAAAAAATTATTGTCAAATGTTTAGGTAAGAATATTTATTTATTTATTATTATTATTATTATTTTTTTGCCAAATGCAAATATTTAAAATTTAAATATGAAAATAAAAATAATTATACATATAACTTGTTTTCTAAGTTATATATACGTATTATTAATGTATATATATATTTCATAAATATTTAGAGAAGACGAGTTTAAATATCATTCATTCGGACTTAATCGAGTTGAATATCATAGGTAATTATGGAGTTGTTTTAGGTCATTGCTTTCTAAAAACAGTAACATATTTCGAACTCAAATTTACAAACCAAATTTGAATTGTATTTCCTAAATTAATAACACCCATATAGTTTTTTTTTTAAAAAATAGAACATAATATGTTAGAAGGGAAGAAATTCATTTAGATGTTGATGAATTGTGGAGTAAAAGATTGAAGAGTGGGTGAGGTTAAAGCTTTATAATCTGCATATTGTTATGTATATGGTGGGTGTCAGACACTGACAGCTTCTCTACTTAATCATGTATTGAGCCTGTGCTCATTTATTCTCTCTACTTTTTTGAGTTTTCTCTGAGAGATCTTCCATTTCCAGTTCCTTTTCTTACCATCCCTACACCGCCATGTTCTTCGCTTCTTCCCACAACCAGAAACTCCCATTTTTGACCCTTCCTTTTTCATGGTGTTTTTGCAGAGAAATGGTGTTCTTGTTTGTGCTTTTTTGAGTTAAATACCAAATGGGTTTCGATGTTTAAGTCATTTTCTCATCTGGGTCGGTGAGTTTTCCTGTTTTTTCCCCTGTTTTTTCATCGATTAATTGCTTGATTTCTAGTTCTATGAGCGAATCTCTTTCTGGGTTTTCTGGTTGTTCGTCTAATTTGAAATGAAATGAAATGTGTGTTCATATTTGGGGTAGCAATTGGTTAAACCTACCAAATCTAAATCCTGTACGGTGCTTCTTTGCCGGAGTTTTGTTTGATTTATGTTATATTTGGTAAAGATATTAATCTGGTTTGTAGGTTATCCCCCATTTTCCTTTTTTGTAATTTCTTCTCCTTTTGATTTGGATCGCTTCATTTCGCCATTGGCGATGGGAGATTAAGCTCTTCCTTCTCGATATTTCTTGTTTTCTTGAAGAAGGGGTTTCGATTTCTTGGGGGTTTCTTCGAATACTGTTTGGTTTTCTGAGTGATGCCTTCTGAAGGTATCCAACAATGGCGAATCTGGTTCCTGGAGTGCTTCTTAAACTGCTGCAGCATATGAACACTGATGTGAAGGTTGCCGGAGAGCACAGGTCGGCGTTGCTGCAAGTTGTGAGTATAGTTCCGGCATTGGCCGGCGGCGATCTTTCACCGAATCAAGGTTTTTATCTCAAAGTCTCTGATTCTTCTCATGCTACATATGTTTCACTGCCTGATGAACATGGTGATCTGATTCTTAGTGATAAGATTCAATTGGGTCAGTTTATTCATGTTGAACGCCTTGAGTCTGCGTCCCCTGTCCCTGTTCTTCAAGGCGTTCGACCGGTGCCCGGTCGACACCCTTGTGTAGGGAGCCCTGAAGATATTGTTGCTACTCATTCTCCTGGATTTCTTAACAATAATCCTAACTTGAAACCATTGGAGAAATCGAAACCGACCCCGAAAGTTTTAGGCATTGTCGGGGAGAAGGAGAAGTCTCTGCCTGTTAGACTCAATGGCAATGTCAAGGAGGATAAGATTGAGAAGAAATCCTCATCGTTGAGTAGATCCAAGTCTCAGTTGTCGAAATTGACGGTGAATATCGATGCGAAAAAGGAGCCTCTAACGAGACTAAAGTCGATGAATTCACGGTCGATACCTTCCTCTCCGACGAGCTGTTATTCATTGCCTTCTTCGTTTGAGAAGTTTGCTAACAGCATTAAGCATCAGGGGAAGGTTAAGGCGTTGGCTAATGGAACGGCCAAGGTAGGGGCGGTTGAGAAGTCGAATTCTGTTCGTTCGGCCAGTCCTGTCGCTAAGAAGATGGGAGTGGGGCATCAATTCAAGCATTTAGTTCAGGGCATTGAGGTTGGGGCTAAGGCTCTGAGAAAGAGTTGGGAAGGGAATATGGAGACAAAAAGACGAGACAATTCGATATTAAGAGCTACCAAACTCGATCCCAAGTCTGAAGCTCGGGTTACTGTAAGTTTTATCATACTCAATATGATCCTCGTTTCATATTTGATTTGTCTTTAAAACGGAAAACGTTCATTCGTGGATATTCATGTCTGTTACTATGAATCTATTAAGCTGCAAATTTGTTTACTAGCGTCCAATCACGTCTCCATTCTCTTATGCAGACTCCTAGAAGAAGTACATCGAGCGAGAAGTTGCCATCGAGAGAGGAGAATAGGATTCAGTTACCTGCAAAGTCATCTAAAGACGATCATAGCGTGCACATGTCTTCACGGAAGAATGCCGCGAACGGAGCCTTAGATGATCAAGATAGGTCAAATAGGCAAAAATCTTCCGGTGGAAAGAAATCCTCGAGCGATGCAGGCGGATTCCCCGGGAATTTGGTGAAGATTTCTCTTAGTCATAAAAGATTGACTGAAGGGAGTGCCTCATGGGCTTCACTTCCATCATCTCTTGCCAAGCTTGGAAAGGTATGGATTCTCTGATACTATGATAATCACTGATAGCTCTTTTAGTTCTTGTTTCTCGATAAATCTTCTGCCGTTTAGATAGCTTCGGGAGCTTATATGAGCTTAATCGCTTGTTTTTTTTCGAAATTCACCGATCCGGTAGAAACTATCTATTTTGATACGTTCATATTGTTCTTCCATGTCTGCTGCTATAGGAAGTAATGAGGCACAGAGATGCTGCACAAGCAGCAGCAATAGAGGCTTTGCAAGAAGCTTCAGCTGCCGAAAGCGTGCTAAGGTGTTTAAGGTACGAAACCTTTCCCGGTGCAGTACTCGTAGTTCTCGCTGCCTTTTAGTTCTATATTTGAAATGCAAGCATAAACGATTCGGTCGAAAGTTGTTTGAGCTGATTTTAGTACATTTGGTTGGAAAAGATATGAAGAATTTATCGACTTTTATAACGAGCTTCTTGGTTGCTTTCGCACGGTTTTCTGTTGTCTTATGTTGTTCGGTTTGCAGTATATTTTCCGAGTTAAATGCTGCTGCAAAGGAGGATAATCCACAGCCTGCAGTAGAACAGTTTTTGACCCTTCATGCTAGCCTGACCAATGCTCATATGGTGGCTGAATCTCTTTCGAAAACGGGTCCCTCTGGTCCGATCAATGAGAGCGAAGAAAACGCTTCAGAAGAAACGATGAAGGTCTCGTTAAAGGCTAGAAAACAGGCATCTGCTTGGGTCCTGGCTGCTTTAGCTACCAACATGTCGTCTTTCGCAGTTTATAGCCGTGATCCACCCTCGGCTCTAAATCCGACCTCATCTCTATCCCAAAACCAAAAGAATGCATCTGCAAATCTGCCTATTGTAGTGTTAGAAAACTCGTCTAAGAACAGCTCGTCGAAATCCCAAGGGAAGGTTCGCCAGATGATAAACTCTAAACCGATTGGATCAGGAAATCCCGGTCGAACAAAGGAGGGAACGACACTCGGTCAAAAGTTGCAGGCTCAACCTCCTCCAGAATGGATCAGAGGAAACGGTCTCGACGAAGCGGTTGACTTGGCTGAGATGTTACGGCTGCAATCCCAGGACTGGTTCTTGACATTCATGGAAAGGTTCTTGGATGCAGGCGTCGACACAGCAGCATTGTCGGATAACGGACAAATAGCAGGAATCTTGACTCAGCTCAAGAGCGTAAACGACTGGTTAGATGGCATAGCTTCTACCAAAGACGAAGAAGACCCCACCGACATTTCGACCGAGACGATCGACAGGCTGAGGAAGAAGATCTACGAGTATCTTCTCATGCACGTTGAGTCTGCAGCCGCTGCGCTTGGCGGGGGATCGCAGCAACTGCCACAGCAGATACAGGCAACCGGAACGAAAGCCAAAAGGTAACTGTCGAAGCTCGATGTTGGTTTCATCTTAACATGGATTACTCGAGCATAAAATCGTGTACATAGCTTCTGCATCGGATCACGCCATAGATGAAAAGCAGTTATTACGGTTCTTGTTTTGAATTCATGAGATTTGATTACTGAAATTATACAGACCTGGGTTTGTTCATTCAGTTCAGCTTTACACATATAATCAACTGTACATTCTGTTGTTAGTGAAGAGTGCATATTGATATATTTCTGAACAATCTCATAATTTATTCTATTGGTTAGTTCATGAGCAGCTCTCGAATGAACGAACACAAGTCCACCGCTACGAGTTAGACGCAAATATATAATCGAAACATATCTTCGAATATAAGGCCATGGGACGTTTGATAACTCACCACTACATTTGTAACAGCTCAAGTCCACCGCTAGCAGATATTGTTCTCTTTTAACCTTTTCTTTCCGGCTTTCCTTAAAGTTTTCAAAATGTGTATGCTATGAGTAGGTTTTTACACTTTTATAAGGAATATTTCGTTCTCCTCTCTAACTGATACGAGATCTCACAATCCACCCCATTTGGGTCTAGTGTCTTTGATGGCACACCGCCCAGGACGGACTTTGATACCATTTGTAACGGTCCTAGCCTATCTTTTATAAGGAATGTTTCGCTCCTCTCCCTAACCGATATGGGACCTCACAATCCACCCCCTTTGGGGCTAGTGTCCTTGGTGGCACACTGCCCAAGACGGACTTTGATACCGTTTGTAACGGTCCTAGCCTACCCTTATAAGGAATGCTTCGTTCCTCTCTTTAACCGATATGGGATCTCACAATCCACCTCCTTTGGGGCTAACGTCCTTGTTGGCACACCGCCCAGGACGGACTTTGATACCATTTGTAACGGTCCAAACCCACCTTATAAGAAATGCTTCATTCCCCTCTCTAACCGAAATGGGATCTCACAGTCCACCTCCTTTAGGGCTAGCGTCCTTGGTGGCACATCGCCCAGGATGAGATTTGATACCATTTGTAACGGTCCAAACCCACCCTTATAAGGAATGCTTCGTTCCCCTCTCTAACCAATATGAGGTCTCACAATCCATTCTCTTTGAGGCTAGCTTCATTGGTGACACGCTGCCCAAGACCGACTTTGATACCATTTGTAATGGTCCAAGCCCCCGCTAGCCGATATTATTCTGTTTGAGCTTTCCCTTTCAAGCTACCGTTCAAAGTTTTTAAAACTCGTCTAACACGGAAACATAAATGAATAGTATCCTTAAAACATTTTATAATGTAAATTTGTGAGGTGTACGGAATTAAACTATAAATTATTAATTGTATCAATTTAAATCTAAATAAATTTTATTATCGATTAAAGCTTAAATCAATTTTATTATCAGTTAAAATCACATATAAAAACATTAATTTATGTGTAAAAACTTATTTATATCAATTGGTTTTGTCGTAAAAAAAACCCAAATTAAAATAGAGACCTACGAATTTACATTTTAAACCCTTTCATCTCGTCATTCAGTTATAAAGCTGTAAGCACGAAGGCGTCTAATATGGTAATTTCATTCTAAACAACAAAACCGTTCCCCCAAAATTTCAGTACAAATTCCAATTTCCCTCTGCAAAACCTAACCCTATCTTCAAAAGTTTTCTCTCCATCTACACAAGATTCTTCTTCTTCTTCAACCTCAAATCCTCTGTTCTTCTCTCACGTCGACACATTCTCTTTGCTCGAATTCATTTGCTCTGCAAAATCGGTGATAGAATCCCAAAGGTGAATTTAGTCTCTGATTCTTCGTTTCGATTTCAGTGCCGCCTCTTCCCCAAATGAGCCGACAGCAACTGTATAGGGACTCGGACGTTACGGAGATGTCTTCCAACAGCTTGTGGGTAGGCAACTTGTCCATGGATGTCACGGATACGGATCTCATGAATATGTTTGCGCAGTTTGGGGCGATTGATAGTGTTTCTTCCTATCCTTCCAGGAGTTACGCTTTCATCTTCTTCAAGCACATGGAGGATGCTCAAGCGGCTAAGGAGGCTCTTCAAGGGGTTATTCTGCGTGGGAGTTCAATCAAAATCGAGTTTGCGAGACCGGTTTGTTTTTGTTCTGATCTCTGTGTTGTGTTAGGTTTATTTGGATTCGTGTGCCTGTATAACATGACTGGTGTGCTATTGATCACTCGCTTTCTTTTGCAATCTATTGGTTTTGCGCTTCATTTGAACCCCTTCTTTTTGATAACGCGACTAGTGTTGAGATAGGCGTAATCTTCATACGATTAAAGGTTTTTTATTTTTTATTTTTTAATATTCAAAATCGAATGCTTCAAACCCAACATCGACTTTCATGGCATACATAGCGGTCAAATGTTCTTCCGTAACTAGTCTCATGGCTTCTCTCATTTAATTAAACTTGTAGATGATGGAGGAATCGGAATTCCTCTGCATCTTCAAGTTTATTAAGTTTTAAGCGGATTGTGTTCAACGATACCTAATGAAGATCTGCGGGGTGCAATAATTTTCTTACTTCGGCAGAGCTATAGTCATGCAAAGAGGCATGCTCAAAAGAATTTTAGTAATTGGGAGAACATATCAATAATTGATATTAGCTTAGGAGGATCATTCGATATAAACCGTGCAACCTGATAGCATTTGGATACATCAAATCTATATGAAAATCTAAGCTAATCACCAAAACTATACGCCTTCCAATCATATCCAACGTCAGGTGAAATCTGAATTGGTCGCTTAAGTGGTTGTGACGAAATTACAAACTTCTCAAAAGTATTGTATGATTCCGACGCCATGAATGTTCCGAAGTAATATGATGAGTCTGTTCTCTGGTGGATTTTGTTTATTCTTCCTTCTTAATTAAACATGTTATTGGTACTGTCTAGATAATAAATAGGCTTAACCTTTGACTGCTTAGCTTTTTCTTTGGTTTACGATAAAACTTTTCATCATGTGTGCAAGACAATATATCTGCAAAGATCAGGAAGTGCTAGAAATCAGCCTCGTAACATTAGTTAGTGGAAGAAATATTTAAGCGCTTATATAGTGTTATTAAAGCATGAAGCGGATTGAAGTGCAGTAACCGTTCAGTGCCCAAGTGCAAGGCACAAAGCTAAAAGACACGATGGCTTCAATAAGGTGAAGCACACAATGAATCACATATGAACACACACGTACATAGTATTAAAACTAGTATGAAGCATGGATACAGAAAACAAATATTAACTTTTTAAGATGAACAAAAACAAGCCTCTACTTATAACATGATTTTTCAATAACAAAAAATCCAATTAGTCATAGAAGCAAACTACAAAATGTACTAGTTAAAACTCGCTATGACTAAATAGGTCATTATCTCAATTTTCATAATCATTGGACTTATAGTCCTTTACTTCCTTTGTAGCATAATTTCCATGTCCCTCCACAAGTTTGGGGGGGGGGGGGGGGGGGGGGGGGGGGGGGGGGGGGGGGGGGGGGGGGGGGGGGGGGGGGGGGGGGGGGGGGGGGGGGGGGGGGGGGGGGGGGGGGTGTTGGAGAGTGAGCTTTGGGTGAGAAGGTTAAACACGAAGGATATGAACCAATAGTTTCTTGTTTAAGTTTTTTTAAAGTATTTTGTTGCAACCTTAGTTCATTAAAAACATGTTGCCATGAGGTACACGCTCAATAAGGATGGGTACACTCTTCTCGTAATTTTGTAATTGTCAATTCTACTGGCTGATGGACAATGATGAGAAGAATATCAAGATTCAAGGAGTAACTAATTTGTTTGGCTTAAGAACTTAAGAACAGTAAGGGTTACATATATATTTTTTTTTGGCAGAATCTAATCTTTTTTCAATAGCAATTGGCCTTGGTGTCTTAGCTCTGCTACTTGACTGCCTAATTGACATTTGGTGTGTTTTAATTGAGAGGAGTTTATTTGAGCAACTCTTTTTTCTTTTTTACTTGGAACATCTCAGTAGACAGGCTACTCCTGTTTGGAAATGTTTTCTGGGCATGCCAATCCTTCAAGATTGATGCTTGTTTGGAAATAGCATTTTCTTTTAATTTCAGTCATTGAACATTACTCTGACCTTGACCTATACTGCCTAAAATAAAAGCAAAATCTCCATTGTTTCAATGATTCCAGGGTGGAACATTAATGAAATTTTAGAATCTGTTTCCCTTTAAAAGAGAGAGATACACGGATCATATGTATGATTCTTTGTGTTTTTCAACCCTCAGGGATTTCAACTCTTAGAGATCTTAAACCTTGAAGACTAAAATACCATGAGGAAGTGCTGTTTTCTTTTTCTGGTTAGAAGCCGAGGAATATATGTTAATATAGACAAAAAGGAAGACATCTTAAGGGCAAGGGGTAGAGAGAACCCCTCCCCAAATAACATGAAAAAGCCATCCAATTTCTAATAGTCAAAGCAAGGTTATAGGTGCACTAAAAATCTGCGACTGGAACTCCACCAAGAAGCCATGTATTGTATGGACAAAAGAATCTTCCAAGCTCCTCCTATCTTCAACGCTTTTAAGATTTAGTTCCTGCCATGTTATCCATAAAGTAGCTTTAACGATGCAGCCACATAGGATCTCTCTTTTGCCCTAAAACAAGTTCCCAACAAAGCCTCAAGCAACTAATGTGTATGGTTGCATATTTTTAAAAGAGAGATGATCATTATTTTCCTTTGTTGATAGTTCAATTGGAGAGCCTCTTGATGTTCTCTATGACTTTTAGGTGCAGACTCCTTATACTCCACCGTGTCTTGATTTTTTAAAAAATATAATAATTTATTGTCTAAAAGAAAATTGTAACACAGACTTAATTCACTCTCTCCACTGCCTAGTTTAAAAATGTAGCTCGTGGTTATAAAAAGGTGTTAGGTGTTATGTCTAACCTGGTCGTTTATGTAAGAAGCCCCTTGTTTGTTTCAAATACATGTAAATCAAGCCAAAAAAATTGTTGTCAAACTTGGAATATATCTGATTAGGTGTGGATGAAAATCATCAATATCGCAACAACTACTGTATGCTTCAGTTTTATTTCCTTGGAAACTACCTATTGGATAATGGATACATCATTTAAGGCTGGTAAATGAGTCTATTTAGTAGTTTCATGAATCAGATATATTCTTAGTGGATCTTCTAATTAGAGTTCTTATCTTCAGCTTTAAGTAGTATTTTCCTTAGTTGCTTAAGCTTGAGTCTTGTATCTTATCATATAAAAAATAGAATCTCGAGTAATTGAGAAAATAATATTTAGTTTTTCTTTAATGTTATGCATGCATGTTAGTGAGACACATTCATGGATTAGGTTTCTTGCTAAATAGCTCTAGAAACTGGAATTGTATGTTCCTGACAATTTTTGTTTTCAGGCCAAACCTTGTAGGAATTTATGGGTAGGCGGTATTAGTCCAGCTGTTTCAAGGGAACAACTTGAAGAAGAGTTTTCCAAATTTGGTAAAATTGATGAATTTAAGTTTTTGCGAGATCGGAATACTGCATTTATTGAGTATGTTCGGTTAGAAGATGCATCACAAGCTTTGAGAATCATGAATGGGAAACGCATTGGTGGAGACCAGATTCGAGTTGATTTTCTTCGATCACAGCCGATGAGAAGAGTAAGCTTGTTCAGAACTTAATGAGCATCAATGTGTTGTATTGATATGTTTGCACCATTTAAAAACTAGGGCAGTTACTTTCTTTATGTATTGACTTTACCCTTGATTTTTACTGGATTGGATTTTCTTGTCCTTGGATGTTATTCTGAGCTATAATATTATTTTATTTTCTGATCTCTCTTCTTGCTGACAAAATTGAATTGAAGATGGGAAAAAATTGTGTTTAGATTTGTTTGACAAATGTAAAGAAAGCTTGAGGTTGTCCTGCATATTATTAGTGCTCGTTCTAGATTGCTGTGCATATGTTCTTTCTCTTTCCATAGCGTATGTAATATTTGGATTCCTTCATACTTGAACATTCTGCAATGCATATCCTTAATTTAAGATGTCCTTTGTGGACAACTTTTATATTAATTTTGAAATTAGTTTATGTGACCTCTTTTCTCTCTATAGCTAATGTAATTAATCTAAATCTTTTTAGGATCAGTGGCCCGACTCCCGAGATGGGCATGGGCAGCTTCAGGGTAGAAATGTGGGGATGGCTGATTTCCAATCTGGTTATAAAAGACCTCTGGTGAGTCTTCCGGACCTGTGACCTTTTGTAATCGTCAATGTTTTACCATTATATATAATGGTTAATACTTTACAAATACAAATATGTAAAAGCTTTTGCAGACCTGTGCACATTGTTGATGTTATAGTAACTACAACCATACCGGGGTCATGGAGGTATTTTCTAAGGTTTATACTTAGGATATGATAAAAGACTAATTCACCATTTTCCATAGGACAATCTTTTTCTCACTTTATGAATTACAGTTAGTTTCTTGTTTATTTTATATCATAGAAATTTAATCGTTGGATAATTATTGCAGCATACTCAATCTTCAGAACTACGTAGAGATGGACCTCCCAGCAAGGTTTTGTGGATTGGTTACCCTCCATCTGTTCAAATTGATGAACAAATGCTCCACAATGCGATGATTTTATTTGGTGAAATAGAGAGAATTACGAGTTTCCATTCTAGGCATTTTGCATTTGTAGAATTTAGAAGTGTTGATGAAGCGCGGCGTGCTAAGGAGGGTCTACAAGGACGGCTTTTTAATGATCCTCGGATTACTATTATGTTTTCAAACAGTGATCCGGCACCTGTGAAAGAGCACCCTGGCTTTTATCCTGGTGGTAAAGAGACTAGGCCTGAAATGTTCTTCAATGAGCATCAAATCCGTCCTCCACAAATGGACATGTTAGGACATCCTCACCCAATGGTGCAAAATAAGTTCCCTGGTCCATTGCCAGCTAATGGCATTCTTAGACCAAATACAGCAGTAAGACCACCACCCTTTGGTCCTCCACAGGGTATCTCAGGCCCTCCTGAGTTTAATGACTTCACGACATCGCATGGTTTCCATGATGCAAATTCAAAAAATGTGATGGGTCCAAATTGGAGAAGGCCATCTCCTCCTGCACCTGGGATACTTTCTTCTCCAGCTACTGGTATTCGTCCACCTCCACCTGTGAGGTCCACTCCAAATTCATGGGATGTTTTGGATGTAAACCAATTCCAAAGGGATTCTAAACGATCAAGGATAGATGGGCCATCATCCTTAGACGATGCTTCTTTTCCTCCAAGAAAAATGGATAACCGGGGCATGGGTTTTGATCAGCAATATGGGGTTGGTCCATTAAATGATGGAGGATCTTCTGTCTCATATACCAATGCTCCTGTGAAGACCCGTGCTATTCCTATAGGTGCAAGGGCACCAGTTAGTGGCCAGAGCCATGGTGACAATGATTTTATATGGCGTGGAATAATTGCCAAGGGTGGAACGCCTGTTTGTCATGCTCGTTGTGTCCCCATAGGCGAAGGAATAGGAAGTGATCTGTAAGTATCAGTTTTATTTTTGTTATTTTTCAAGTAACATGTTTGTATTAATATAATTTGTTTAGCTTCCCACTTCCCATGGGATGCCATGAAGTTGTATGGAAACAACTGCACCTAATTAATTCAAATGGTATCTAGGAATAAAATGTTTTGGTTCACTCTGTGTGCGTATATTTTTGAATGCTTGTTTTTCTGCTGTTCTTCGGGGTATTTGGTGGGAAAAGAATATAATAATTTTAGGGATTGGGAGAGATTTTCTGATGAGACGTGGTCTCTTGTCAGGCTTAATGCATCTACTTGGGCCTCAGTTTCCAAGAATTTCTATAATTTCTACTTGCTTCCTAAAACATGGAGATTATTCTGGTACCCTGCTTAAAGCATCACCTCATCTTTAAAGCTAAAGGGAAACACCGTAGTCTTTGTTTCTTTAGAATTTAAGTCAAGAATTTTGACAACAATTGTTAAATGAATTGGCAGATATTTGCTTCATATTTTTGTTATGAACTGAACTTAGTTTGAAATGCCAGTCTAGATGTGAACTTGAAGGTTCCAACTAAAGATCTAGTTGGGTGGAGATGATGATGTATGGAATCTTATATTCTTGCTATTCATCTATTTTAATGTTTTCGTTTACTATTTTGCAGTCCTGAAGCAGTCAATTGTTCAGCAAGAACTGGGCTGGATCAGCTTGCTAAACATTATGCTGAAGCCACTGGATTTGACATTGTCTTTTTCTTGCCAGACAGCGAGGATGACTTTGCATCCTATACAGAATTCCTGCGTTACCTAGGTGCAAAAAACCGTGCAGGTGTTGCTAAGTTTGATGATGGAACTACAATGTTTTTAGTTCCTCCTTCAGAGTTTTTGAGAAAAGTCTTGAAAGTTGCGGGCCCAGAACGGCTTTATGGTCTCATTCTCAAATTTCCCCAGGTTCCTCTTAGTGAACCGACTCACCAGCAGTCCTATCTACCCATTCCTACATCTGACTATGGTGAGAGACAGCAAGTCTTGTCTTCACGAGCTGAATACGGGTCAGTGCTTTCAAAGCAGGAGCAACTTCTTCCAATGGATTATAATAGGGTTCTGCATGAGGAAACCAAGGAACTCCCGAAACCCCTTCTGCCTGCAAGTGAGCCACCATCTGTTCAGTCCTTGCCTCATGAGTATGTTACTAACAATAATACGGCTGCAGTCTCACAAGCTGGGTTATCATTAACACCAGAGCTTATTGCCACCTTAGTTTCTTTACTGCCTGGTAAGACACAGTCATCCAGTTTAGAAAGTGCCAAGCAACCAGCCATCTCACCACAGCCTCCAATGCCTACTGTTGATTCGAATAAAGGGACTACATCTGAGGGATGGATTGTAGGTCATCAATCTTCTGAGTTAACCGGTCAGCCATTTCAGCAAATGGAAAATCATTTTAATTCTCAGGGACAAAGTCTTTCTCAATTTCAGCCTTATCCACCTCTCCCACAAACACCAAACCAGCATGCACCACAGATCATGGGAGCAACCCAAATTCAAGATGCTGCTGTCGGTCTGCCACAGCAGCAGCATGTACCTATTCCTTACAGGCCTTTGTCTACTTATTCTGCCCCTCCTGAGAATGCACAAGCTTCTAGTTTGCCCTTTGTCAATCCTCAGTATCAGCATGATGTTTCTCAAATTAACCAGAGAGGTTATGGGTCAGTCAATGAAGTTGATACTTCTGGGTATGGTGCACCAGTCGTGCAGCAATCAACGAATACTGCGACCTTATCTAATCAAGGTCAGGGTTCTACATCACAGCCACAACCTGTTACACATTTAGCATCTGATAGGGGGAACCCTGAGCTTCCTTATCAGATGGAGCATCTCCAATCTGCAAACCTTGGTGCTGGCAATGGGACCAGTGATGTTGAGGCCGGTAAGGACCAGAGATATCGATCTACGCTACAATTTGCTGCAAATTTACTCCTTCAGATCCAGCAGCAGCAGCAGCAGCCACAGCAAGCAGGCTGGGGTTCAGGAAATCAATAATGAGCAGCTCTTTGTCTAGGTAATCCTCTGTACTTGACTTTTAATCTTCTTGGTGGCCAAGATCTTTCAGTGGATATTTGCATATAATATCTGATTGGTTTGTGATTTTCTATTTAAATGCAAGTTCCTGTAGTTGGCTGAATAGAATATGTTCTACTTCTTATGACATAGGGTTCGTTTAGCTTCTTTTCTTATGGTTGGTTGGTGATACATTATGCAGTACTTCAACTTTGCGATTCTGGTTAAGTTGTTGCACAAGTTTTTATGATGTCAATTGGGTGCTATGGCGGTCATTTTGCTGCATAATCTAGTTAGCTTCTTTGAGGTTCTTTCTTCCTAGGTATTTGGTTAGGAATTTGTGGGGTCTCTAGCTTCTCTCTCTTCTTTTTGCTTTTCAATACAGATGATGACTTAGGTGTAGTTAAGTAGGCGATGGGGAGTGATAACAAGGCCCTCCAAGTTCTCCATCTAGATACAAGAAATAGCCAAGTCTTGAATTTGGTCAAATTCCAAGATGTACAAGTATCTACCACCTAGGGAATTGACGTTTTTTAACCAGAAACTTTTTTCATTCAGCAAGTTGGGAGATCGATTGATTGGTGGTTTGTTCATTGTTGAACTAAAATCTAGTCAAGATTTCAAGAACTGGTTTTAGGAAGTTGTAAATAAACACGAGTTGTAACTAAAAACACTTGGTTTTTCTAAAAGCAGAGAAATGTCGTAGAAGGCGGTTAAATTAAATGAGCTGGGTTGGTTGAGTTGAATCAGATGTTTATGGATTGATTTGGTGGCAGTGGCATAGTCTTTACCTTCAGTGATAATTTTGAGTTTGGGAGACGGTAGTTATATATTATGTTTCCATTGATAGAAGACTCTTAATTGTGCATATCATGAACCGTTCTTATCAGAACCAAGTCCTATTATTCTTTGAGATACATATTATTAATCTTCTGCTGAATGCATCTTGATTGGTATCACACATTGAAACTGGTGGCAGTGGCATATTCTTTACATTCAATGATAATTTGAGTTTGGGAGACAGTAGCACCTTTTCTTTCATTATTTGTGCTTAGTTCTTTAATATCTGTAAAACTATGTGTAAGCAGGAATTTGTTTTGAGGGTAGTAAAATGTTTAGTCTTGTATAATACTTTTAATGTTTAGCTGACATTCTTTTCCCTTACCTTAATGAACTATGACCAAAAATGCGTACAAATGAAACTTTAAGGTACACTATAGTGGATTCATGTTATCGTATATCGTATATCTTAATCAAGGAGCTCAATGAATACAGCTATGAACCCTGTACGTTTCTGTGAGAAGTTAAAAGCTGCAATATTCATTATACCCTTAAGACCATTACATGTTGGCCGAGGGGTCATAAAGAAATAAGCTCATAGTCTCTTTTCATAAAGAAATAAGCTCATAGTCTCTTTGTGATCATGAGTACAAACCATGGTGGCTTCTATTTTGGATGTTAAATATTGAGTTTCTTGATACTAAATATTATAGGATGAAAATGAAATGAAGGTTAATTGGCACGGAAGCTCTTTTGTATTCATTCACAGTAAGAATACATATAATGCATATTCACTTGTTTATATTAATCGCTCTTAGATTGAATCAACTCGACCAGGCTTCAACTGTTACAATCTCATGTACAATCTTCAACCTTGAGAGCCTACATTTGTAAACGAACTCAAACAGGCTTCAACTGTTATGATCTTGTGTACAATTTTTAAGCTTGAGAGCCTACCTTCGTAAACCAACCTCCACTACTCTATAACCTAGAAGGTAACAAGGCTCCCTTTTACCATAATTTACGATCATAGCGTGCAGTTAGCTAGTTTGTACATGAGATCATAACAGTTGGATTCCTAGTTTGTGGGTTTTCCGTCTAAAGTTTAAGATCTTCTGCTCGGTTTGGAGTTAGCTAGTTTTGACAATGCTATCTCGTTAGTTTTGATGTTGCTATCTTGTTCTGGCTTGTTGAATAAATCTATTGTTTGTAGTCTAGCATGTACAATGGAGTAAATAGGATAAAAAATGACTGTCAACAAAAATTGTATTAGTTGGTCTGCAATTTTTCGTTTGCGAATTGTTGATTGTATTGTGCAGGGGCCAACAGTTTTCATCGTTTAGTATGAGGTAAGGTACGTATATTAATTGGTAATTGCATAGGAAATAAATTATGAAGGATTTCGTTGCGCCTGTCGTATTAGCTTTTTTGGATAAACTCTGTTTTGCTTCGACTAGATTTGATCCCGGACTAGATGGAGGTAAAAGAAAAAAACAAAAAGGAAATGAGGAAAACACTGTTTAGAATAGCGTCTATCGTACACCGATGTGTCCAGGCACACGTTAAATGTGTCTGATCGTTACATACACTTGAAAATTTTGTATATGCTCGAATGTCGGAGAAAGACGACGAGTAATGAAAGAGATTTGTGCTGGAAATAGAAAAATATATTGGTTTTATCTATTTGAAAAATAACTACATCACAAATATGGAGTGGATTTCAAACTTACTCGAATCGGGTACCGTTGTATTCGAGCTAAAGATGAGTGATTTAAACTGGGTTAGTCTGTGCTGTTGAAACCCAAAAAAACACAGCAATTCCCGATGTTTGTATGGATCGTTTGTGTGGTTTTGGCTATCAATAATTGATTAAATTGTGACAGTATTTTGGTATCAAAGTTGAACCCTTATTGTTTTGAACTGAAATGAAGCGAAAATGCGTGTAGGTAATGAAAGGTGAAAGGAAAGGAAAGGAAAGGAAAGGAAGATCTGCGTTAAATTATGGGTTTTGTTTGAGCAGAAGAAGCAGGTGGATGGGGACCCTTCGTTTTCTCCCTTCGAAGTCCCAATGCCTCTCCGTGGCCTTCCCATTCCTTCATACTCTCACGCTATTGTACTCTTTCTTCTTACTTTTGGAATTTGAGTTTTGTGCAATCCTTTGTACCATAGCTTCACCCCCCAACATTTCAACCCCTCTTTTAACGCTGCTTTGTTCTATCACTTTATTTCATATTGAAGCTCTTCAATGAGATTACCATTTTGATCACTGAAAAATAGGAATATATTGGTAACGTTCGTTTGTTCGTTCAAGTTATCCCCTTTTTGTATCTCTATGAAATACGAGCTCGTTCGAAACTTGCAAATGATTGTCTTTGCTTTCTCTATTCATTTGTACGTTTGAGTATACATTTTGAATATGCAAATTCATTTTATATTTACGTGCATCCTCTTAGAATTTGGCCAACGTTCGTTAAGTTAATGTTTAGTCTACAACTTCGGTACGAATTTTACACCTTAAGGTTGTGTCTTCTCCTTTGACAGTTTCATAACAAGGATGAAAGCATTTTAGTAACTATCTGTGGAGGGTGGGAGGCGAGGGATAAAATATAAGCTAAGTTGGGTGTCGGTGGTTAGGTTAGGATCAAATTTACGTTGAAATTGATTGACATTGACTTGTTGAACATGGAAGCAACTTGAGATAAAAAAATATCATTAATTTCAAAATCTTAAGATTCATACCATCTCGGTATCTGTCGTTGTAGTCCTCTTACTCTTGAGTTACGTTCTCATAAATATGGCAAAAAGTCACCTATAAAAGATAAAAAAAAAAATAGTATAATTATATTCGAAAGAATCAAACAACGTGTAGAGACGAGTACAGAAAAACGCTTAGAAATGTAGGTTCGTTAGATAGCCGAACTCATAGAATGGCATATGAAACCAACAAAAGGGTTGTATGGAAATTGTTGGCGTGGAGAGTTGCAAAAGAAGTTCACATTGATTGCAAGAATAGTGTTGTTCCCCGTCGTACAAAATTGATGATGCTCTTCATCAATAATTTTGTAGGCCTCAAAATTCCTCAGCCACAAACCAATCCAGCTCCACAGCCACACAAATGGCGTCCACCCTTTTCCGCCTCGTTGTCTCTTCCAGCTTTCTTACTTTCCATGGCCAAAAATCTAAACCCTTATCGTCTCACCCACCATTTACTCCCCCTTCCTTCTACCCCTTCTCTTCTAGTTTTTTCTCCACTAACAATCGGTTTCCGTTCTTGTTCTCTTCGATCTTTTCCGATTGGTCTCTCCGGCGGTCGGAGCTGCTGTTTTTCTCTAAAAATTTCATGAATTTGATGGTCTCGGAGTAGAAAAAAGGGCGGAGGTGGAATTTCCGGGAATCAGTTGAAGATTGTAGTGGTAACCTAGAGGGATAAGATGAAAATTCAGTGCGATGTTTGTGAGAAAGCTCCTGCTACTTTGATTTGTTGTGCGGATGAAGCGGCGCTTTGTTCGAAATGCGATGTTGAAGTTCATGCTGCTAATAAGCTTGCGAGCAAACACCAGAGGCTTCTTCTTCAGTGCCTCTCTACTAAGCTCCCCAAATGCGATATATGCCAAGTAATTGCGATCTCTGTTGCTTCACTTTGGTTTCTTGCTTGTTCATTTGCTCATCTCGTTGATCTGATCGTTTTTGTGCTGATATGATGAATTTAGATGAAAGATTTTGTAAGTGTGGATGATAATCTCAACAAAGTTTACTTAAATCACTGTTTAATCCGAAGTGGTTTTGCAAGTGTGGATGATAATCTCAACAAAGTTTACTTGAATCACTGTTTAATCCGAAGTGGTTTTGCAAGTGTGGATGATAATCTCAACGTAGTTTACTTAAATCACTGTTTAATCCGAAGTTACGTTTAAGTTTGTTAGGTTCTAGTAAATCTAACCCTTTCATGTGTACTCTAATCACTCTCTATCACTCGTGAGCTTCGAAGTTAGTAAGAAGTTTGAACCCAGGACCTTCAGTTTTTACTTCAATCATCCGTTTTTGGGTGTAGTAGTTGATGTTGGGTAGAGTTCATGATTTTGTGCAGCAGCTCTAGTCACCACTAGTAGATATCGTCTTTTTTGGGCTTTCCCTCAAAGTTTTTAAAACGCGGTTGCTAGGGAGAGTTTTCCACACCCTTGTAAACAATGTTTCATTCTCCTCCCCAACCGATGTGGGATCTCACAATCCACTCTCTTTCTAAGCCCAACATCCTTGTTGACACTCATTTCCTTCTCCAATTGATGTGGGACCCTCCAATCCACCCCCTTCGGGACAGCATCCTTGCTGGTACACTGCCTCGTGTCCACTCTCCTTCGGGGCTCAACCTTCTCGTTGGCACATCGCCCTGTGTCTGGCTCTGATAGCATTTCTAACAGCCCAATTCCACCACTAGTAGATATTGTCCTTCGTATTTATTTACCTTGAAGGAGGTTCATTTTTGTTGTAGAAAAAGTAGGAAGCAGTTTAGTTGAGATGACAAATGCTGAGTATTATCTGTCTTGTATGGTATCAGGACAAGCCGGCTTTCATTTTCTGTGTTGAAGACAGAGCACTATTTTGTCAAGATTGTGATGAACCAATTCATTCAACTGGTAGTCTTTCAGCAAACCACCAGAGGTTTCTAGCCACGGGAATCAGAGTGGCCATGAGCTCAAGTTGCACGAAGGACGTCGACAAGGTCAAAATGGAACCTCCAAATCCGAAGAACCCTCAGGTTCCTGCTAAACTGCCTTCACAACAAGTTCCTAACTTCACATCCCCATGGGCGGTTGACGACTTTCTCCACTTCTCCGATCTCGAGTCGTCTGACAAGGTAAGTAAGCTAGATGCTACACCTTCTACACATCCACTTATTTGCTTTTTGTGATCATACTTCAACACTGCAATTTCTGCCAGTTTAGAAAGGATAAGTTTTCGAATGTTTACTTTCCTGCGTCGACACATCTTTGCTTTCTCCTCCGAAAGATCACGCACACACTTATTTAAATTGAAGTGTCTGGACTAACTAGCACACATTTTGACTATCCTCACAGGACAACCTACGGCATTTGGTTGTTAAGGAAACCCGCAGGATATTGAATCATAAGTAGGAGTCTTTTATTATTTACACGACCCTTATTAACCACAGGGCCAAGCTATGGTTGTTCGTTAAATCCATACCCTGCAATGTCGTATGGGAATCATGATGCACGTCGGATTGGATTGTTTTCTTTTGAGATTTCTGGTGTTTACTGTTGCTAACATAGAGGCAAACATGTGACAAAGAATTGCATTACTATTACTTGATTCATAACTTACGATCAAATCCATTGTGCAGCAGAAAGAAGATCTAGAGTTTGGAGAACTAG